CTCCCACAGCCAACCTCTCCCAACCAGCCAACCTCCCTCTCCCGCTCTCCCCCTCTCCCCCTCCCCAGAGCCATCCAGCCCCGATGGGCCCCAATCACCCGCCAGACTGTGCACCGGGCCTCTAGCATATTTATAATGAAATAAAAACGTGGAGGGAAGAATTGCAAAGGCAGGAGCCTCTGCAGGGACGGTGGAGCACTCGCCTTTCCTGCATTGCCTGCCCACGCGGGCTCTCCCGGGCTCTCCCGGGCACGCCTGCCTTTCCCCGCTCCGGCCTCGAGTACCCGGGCGCCTCAGTTCCCTCTGTCAGCTGAGAGGAGGGGCGGGTCGCTCCTCGGGCCGCCTGAGGCCCCTTCTCCAAAACAGTGCTGGCCGGTCCGACCCGGAGCGCCCCCGGAGGGCCGGCCTGCGGGCTGCAGCCGCCGCGCTCCCCGGAGCCACAGCGTCTCCTGTTCCCGGGACAGGCCGCCTCAGTTCTCTTCCCGGAGGCGGCTCTGCGCCCACAGCAGCCCCGGATGGACGCTGGCGGCCGAGGCTCGGCTCCCGGGAGGGGGGAGCTCGGGGGGCGGAGCCGGCCACGTGGCTCAGGGGCGGAGCGTCCACCTGTGAACCAGGAGGTCCCGGTTCCACTCCGGTCGGGGCACGTGGCAGGCTGCGGGCTCCGTCCCCGTGGGGGGCGTGCAGGAGGCAGCCGATCCATGATCCTCTCACGTCGTGATGTTTCTCTCTCCCTCTCCCTCTGCCTTCCGCTCTGAAGTAAATTTGAAAGGAAAAAAGAAAGCCCTTTCAGACCTCGCAGCCCCCGGGCCCAGACACAGCGGCCTCGGGAGCAGCGCACAGAGCTCCGAGATCCACACGCAGAAAGGAGGGTTTCCTTTTCCCACCGACACCCACCGGGGCGGACACCCACCGGGACGGACACCCACCGGGGCGGACACCCACCGGGACGGACACCCACCGGGGCGGACACCCACCGGGAGCACACACCCACCGGGGCGGACACCCACCGGGATGGACACCCACCGGGATGGACACCCACCCGGGGCAGACACCCACCGGGACGGACACCCACCGGGAGCACACACCCACCGGGAGCACACACCCACCCAGGGCGGACACCCACCCGGGGCGGACACCCACCGGGACGGACACCAACCCGGGGCGGACACCCACCGGGAGCACACACCCACCGGGGCGGACACCCACCGGGACGGACACCCACCGGGCCGGACACCCACCCGGGGCGGACACCCACCGGGACGGACACCCACCGGGGCGGACACCCACCCGGGGCGGACACCCACCGGGGCGGACACCCACCCGGGGCGGACACCCACCCGGGGCGGACACCCACCGGGGCGAACACCCACCGGGAGCACACACACACCCACCCAGGGCGGACACCCACCGGGGCGGACACCCACCGGGCGGACACCCACCGGGACGGACACCCACCGGGGCGGACTCCCACCGGGACGGACACCCACCGGGGCGGACACCCACCGGGGCGGACACCCACCGGGGCGGACACCCACCGGGAGCACACACCCACCGGGAGCACACACCCACCCGGGGCGGACACCCACCGGGGCGGACACCCACCGGGAGCACACACCCACCGGGGCGGACACCCACCGGGATGGACACCCACCGGGACGGACACCCACCGGGGCGGACACCCACCGGGGCGGACACCCACCGGGGCGGACACCCACCGGGGCGGACACCCACCGGGACGGACACCCACCCGGGGCGGACACCCACCGGGACGGACACCCACCGGGCCGGACACCCACCCGGGGCGGACACCCACCGGGGCGGACACCCACCCGGGGCGGACACCCACCCGGGGCGGACACCCACCGGGGCGAACACCCACCGGGAGCACACACACACCCACCCAGGGCGGACACCCACCGGGGCGGACACCCACCGGGGCGGACACCCACCTGGACGGACGCCCACCGGGGCGGACACCCACCGGGGCGGACACCCACCGGGACGGACGCCCACCGGGGCGGACACCCACCGGGACGGACACCCACCGGGACGGACGCCCACCGGGACGGACGCCCACCGGGACGGACGCCCACCGGGACGGACACCCACCCGGGGCGGACGCCCACCGGGGCGGACACCCACCGGGGCGGACACCCACCCGGGGTGGACACCCACCGGGGCGGACACCCACCGGGAGCACACACCCACCCAGGGCGGACACCCACCGGGGACACACACCCACCGGGAGCACGCACCCACCGGGGACACACACCCACCGGGAGCACACACCCACCAGGAGCACACACCCACCCGGGGCGGGACACAGGCCATCCTGGGCCCCTGGAGCCCAGGCTGTGGAGAACCAGGCATTGTCCTCCAAAGCCCTCCCCGGAGGTGCCCGGGCACTGGTCCCTCCAGGGCACCAGGCGAGCAGGCAGCTGCCGTCCGCCCCCCGCCCAGAGCACGCTGCCTCGTGAGCGTGGGCTGGACGGGGTCTAACGGGGAAACTGGGACGAGGGCAGGAAGCCGCCCTCAAGACGCCAGAAGACGGGGCGCGCACAGAGCGCTGTTGTTGGGCCTCAGACAGACCGGAGGGGCTGGGGGGCGGGAGGTCGGGCTGACGGAGCCTGGGGCCCTGGGGAGGGAGGGTTTCTGAGACGCGGGCTCTGGCGTCTGAACGCTGTGGGGACAGCGGGGAGTGCCTGGCTGATTGCTGGCCGGCTGCCTCCCTCGCTCCTGGGGAGACATTCCTAGAAATCGGGGCGGGGGGCATCTGGGTGCAGGTGGGTGACAGTGGCACTTGTCTTTGGGTTGGGGTTGTAGGCATGCACAGGCCTTCCGTTCAGCTGACCGATTTATTTGGGGTCCTGGGAAGGACTGAATGAAGTCAGGGAACGTGGCCCCCCCCCCGAAGAGCCCCATTGTGGATCTGCCAGACAAACCAGAGAACGGTCGGTCCGCTGGCCCGCCCTCCGCAGGGCCGGTCTGCAGCCCGCGGGGCTGCCTGCCGCGTTCAGGGTATTTCTGACTTGATGGGTCACCTCCTTCCTCCCTCAGCAAACATTTCACCGGCCCCGGGGTGAGGGCGGAGGAGGGGAGGGAGGGGCATTGGGAGCTGCCCTGGCCGCTCCGGTGCCCACACGCCAGAGGCCAGAAACATTTGGCCCCAAACACAAACACAACCTGGCGTGGGATTTTTTCTGGTGTTTTTTTGTTTTGTTTTGTTTCAACCTAAGTGCTTTTAAAGACTTCTTTGAAATGTGGGACAATTATGCAAGCAGGAAAAAAAAAAAGAATCTAGAGCAAATATTTAACTTTGCCTTTGGTATGTGGAAGTCACTGGCCCAGGCCGCTCTCTCAGGCATGTCCTGTGGGATTGACTTAACAAACATGTGTAAAATGTGTATTAAAATTATGCCTGGTTTCAGGCTTGAACCTCAGCGGGGGACGTGCAGGAGGCAGCCGGTCAATACTTCTCTCTCATCATGGATGTTTCTCCCTCTCCCTTCCTCTCTGAACTCACTAAAAATGTATACTTAAAAAATAACTTAGGCCGAAACCGGTTTGGCTCAGTGGATAGAGTGTCGGTCTGCGGACTGATCCCCGGTGGGGTGTGTGTGTGTGTGTGTGTGTGTGTGTGTGTGTGTGCAGGAGGCAGCTGATCAATGTTTCTCTCTCATCGATATTTCTAGCTCTCTATCCCTCTCCCTTCCTCTCTGTAAAAAGTCAATAAAATATATTTTTTAAAAATATGCCTGCCGAAACCGGTTTGGCTCAGTGGATAGAGCGTCGGCCTGCGGACTGAAAGGTCCCGGGTTCGATTCTGGTCAAGGGCATGTACCTTGGTTGCGGACACATCCCCAGTGGGGGGTGTGCAAGAGGCAGCTGATTGATGATTCTCTCTCATCAATGTTTCTAACTCTCTGTCCCTTTCTCTTCCTCTCTGTAAAAAAAAAATCAATAAAATATATAAAAATAAATAAATAAATAAATAAATAAATAAATATGCCTATAAAGTACAAAACCGTCCGCGGCATGTGTTGTATGCGCGGGTTTCCCCCTGGGGGGCGCACTGGGCCTGTGGAATGGAGGCTGTCTGTCCGGGAGCAGCTGTTACACACCTGGATGCGGGTCTCCGCCCCCCCCCCCCCAGGGGCAGATATGGAGGCGGGATACTGGAATATTGGAAATTCGGGACCAGAGACCTCCTTCGCTTACTCGGAGCCACACAGCACGTGCGGGTGCAGCTCCGGGGAGGACTCGAGGGCCCGCCTCGGGAGGAGGCGATCCGCTGGGTCTCAGCCCCGGGCTGCCGGGCTCCGCACACCCCCGACGGGCCGGTCCCCGCACCCAGCCCCGTCCACGCCGGTGCCCGGGCCGGAGCGCCCCGCGTCCGGGCCAACCGCACGGAGCCGGCCGCTCCGCACACGGCCCCGCAGGTCCGGTCCGCGGGCTCTCCCGGGCGGCCGCCCCGCAGCGGGTCCGGTCCGCGGGCTCTCCCGGGCGGCCGCGCGCCTGGGGCGGGGCGGGGGCGGGGCAGCCGGCGGCGGGGCCGCGGGGCCGGCGTTGCTACAACAGACGCGGCCGGAGCTCAGCGGCCGCGGGCCGAGCAGGTGGAGCAGGTGGGGCCCGCGGTCTCGCCGGCGGAGATCCACGCGGGTCCCGACCACGCGCGCCCCGGGGCAGCCGGCGGACCCTCCCCGCGCTTGCGGGCCCCGCCGCCCGCCCCCGCCGCCGGGAGAGCGCCCCCCGCCGCCCGCAGAGCGCCCCCCGCCCGAGAGCCCCGCGCCGAGAGCGCCCCCCGCCGCCCGGAGAGCGGCCCCGCCGCCCGGAGAGCGCCCCCCGCCGCCCGGAGAGCGGCCCCGCCGCCCGCACCGCCCGCACCGCCGCTCCGCGAGGGGCGGGGCGCAGCGCCCCTCCCCCGGACACCTGCGCGGCGGCTGGCGCTCGGCCGGCTGGGCGGCGGCTCCGTCCCCGCGGCCCTGCAGGTGCCGGCCGCCTCCCCGCCCCGGGGCTCGATCCGCCCGCCGCGCCGGAGCCACGGAGGCCGGGCCCAGGTAAGGCGGCGGGCGGGGAGGGGGCCGGGCGCGGGGCGGGCGGCCGGGAGCGGGGCGGGGGGCCGGGCGCCGGCGCGGGCGGGAGGGACAGGACGTGCCCTGGGCGCCCCCCCCCCCCCGCCGCCGGCCGCACCGGGGCGTTCGGACTGCGGAGCCCCAACTGCCGGGGGCGGCGTCCCGGACCCGCCGCGTGCGGGCAGGGGGCGGGGAGTGCGCGCCGCTGGAGGGCGCTCCTCCCGCCGCTTCCGCTTGGTCCGACGCTTCACAAGTGACAGCGGCGCGGACGCCGGGCGCGGGACGCCCCTTTGTCTCCCTCGCGCGCGAACCCCGCGCCCCTGACTCGCCCGGCGCCTCCCCTGGGCCAGGCGGAGGATCCACCTACAGCCCCTCTCCCCCTCCGCCCCCCTCCCCCCCCTCCCCCTCCATCCCCCTCCATCCCCCTCCGTCCCCCTCCCGCCCCAGCGCGCCCGCCGCCGGTGACCTGGGGCAGGCTGCGGCCGCGGAGCCGGCGCGGGCCGCCAGGGAGCGGGGACCTGGCCGCGGCCGCCGGGACCGGAGACCCGCTGCGCCCTCGCGCCCCCCCCTTCCCGGCCCCGCACTGGCGCCCCCCGCCCCCGGCCCCGCACTGGCGCCCGTGCCCCGCCCCGGCGCCGCGGTGGGTGCAGCGGATCCTGGAGGGCCCGGCCCGGCGTCCCCGGTGTAGGTTCTGGGGCCACAGGATGGGCCCCCAAGTCCCCGGGGTCACGCAGAATCCCCGCAACGCGCTCCGCTTGGCCGGCCACGCGCCCCAGCCGGGGTGGGGGTGCCGGTCGGAGCAGGCGAGCCGTCCGGGCCCCGCCGCCGCCGGTGAATTATGCAGGAGTCGGCCCCGCGCGCTTCTCAAGTTTCCGGGCAACTTTGTCCCGCACCCCTCCTCTGGGCGCCCCTCCTCCGGGCGCCCCTCCTCCAGGCGCCCCTCCTCCGGGCGCCCCTCCTCCGGGCGCCCCTCCTCCGGGCACCCCCCCTCCGGGCGCCCCCCCTCCGGGCGCCCCCCCTCCGGGCGCCCCCCTTCCGGGCACCCCTTCTCCGCGGGGCGCACCGGGGACCCAGCACGCCCAGGATCGCGGAGCAGGTGTGAGCCCCGCGAGGGTCTCCCCGCCCGGGTCGGAGGGTGCGGCCGGCTGCGGGCTGCCCCGTCGCACCGATGGTTCCTGTCTCCTTGGGGCTGGGAGCGTCCAAGGGGCGGAGGCCAGGCTCGTGACCGTGACCGTGACCGTGGGCTCTGGAGGGCGAGCCTGGAAGGCCCCCCTGGGGGGCGGGACCCGGACTGCGCTCAGGGGGCTGCTGGGAGCTCCGGCCACAGGACAGGAGGCCCGGGCGGGGGTCCCCAGAGACCATCTGGAAATAGCTGGCTCCCCTGGAAGTTGGAGGGAGTAAATTGGATAGTCCCGTGGCCTCCTTTTGTCTGGAGCTCCCTTTGGAGTTAACGAGGCCACTGCTAATTAGAGGAGCCGGCGCGGGGGTTTGGAAGCTGTCTGTGGAGGGGTGTGTTGGGGTTGGGGGGGGGTTTGAGCTGTACCTGGGCCTTGTCCCGGGACCGGACTTCGCTGGCGGGGCACGGAGAGCCTGGCCTCCGAGTGGGGGCCCACAGGGAAGAGTGGTCAGTGAGGCCCCTACCCAGGCCCAGCGGGTGCCCTGGGGGCTGGAGGGTGACCCACACGTCCGGGGGCAGCTGTCCTTGGAGACCCCGTTTCACACCCTGTGGGCATCACCCGCCCTCTGCCGCCGGGACCTCCGTGCCCACGGGGGCTCCGTGGTGATGGGGGGGGGCTCCTGTGCGACAGGAGGTGAGCGCGGCCCGGGGGACCCTGTCTTCTAGGGCCGGATGGGGAGCCGAGGGACCCCCGGTTCTGGGGGACGGACGGTGACAGGCGGTGCTCTTTATGGATTTGGTGGTTTTACCCCAAAGGCAGCCCTGGTGGGCACCTGGCCGCTTGGGACAAATTAGACCCCGTTTTGGTGGTGGTGGTGGTGGGGTCGGGGTCCTGATTACTTTCCAAAGGGCACTTCAGCCCGGCCGACATGGCTCCGTGGTTGAGCATGGACCTCTGAACCAGGAGGTCAGGGTTCGATTCCCGGCCAGGGCACAGGCCCAGGCTGCAGGCTGGATCCCCAGCGTGGGGCGTGCAGAGGCAGCTGATCAGTGATCCTCTCTCATCAGTGATGTTTCTCTCCTCTCCCTCTCCCTTCCTCTCTGACATCAATAAACATACATCGAAGAATAAAATAAAGAGGAAGCCCGCGCACACCCAGGCTCCGATAGGTGCTCCCTCTTTCTCCCTCCGTCCGCCCGTGGACTCGGCCAGCGCTGGGGTTTTGTGCACGGCCCGCCTCCGCCTCCAGCCTGCAGGGCACCCGGGAAGGCCACGTGCTCAGGCCCGGTGGCCCCTGGGAGGAGCTGGACCCGGCAGGCGGGGTCGGGGCTGAGGCGTGCCCCCGGGAGGCTGATGGGGAGTTCCGGAGCCTGGCTCTGCATGTTATAGGGGCCGGGAGCACGTGGACACCAAAGCCTGAGGCGCAGAGAACGGGGCGGAGCTGGCCCCAGAGAGGAAAGCACCGTCACTCACTGCCTGTTCCCCAAAGTGGGGCTCAGGTGGGAGCTGCTGCGGGCCCTGTGCCTCCCGCTCCCAGGATCCGGGGTGAGGATCTGGCCGGGCCCCTGGCTCTGGACCCTGAACTCTCTCCCACGAACCCGCCGCCGGGAGGCCCCGCAGACAAGCCTGGGAAGGCAACTTGCCTGATCCGAGGAGAGAATCAGCAATCCACTGCCTTCTGCACGCCCCCCACCGGGACTGAACCCGCCTCCCGGGCCTGTGCCCTGACGGGGACCACACAGTGGCCTCCTGGGTCCTAGGTCGACGCTCAGCCCCTGAGCCACGCCGGGCGGGCCAGGTGACGATTTCAGAGACTGACCGCTTTGCAGATGGGCCCCTGCTGCCACCTGGCTCCTGGTCACCCCTCCTGCCTCTCCCCGATTGTCCCCCGAGGCGGCCACGCTGCCGCCCGGGGCTGGGGCTCCCTGGGCCCAGCAGCTGGCCGGTTACGCCAGCCCCACGGCGGCCGTTTGGACCCGGGTTTTCTCTGCTCTGACAGAGCGTCCTCTGCTCCGGCCCTCACTTTCTGAGCTTCCCCGTCTACCCCTCCTGACCATGGCCGATGGCTCCTGGGCTTCTTGCTGATTCGCAGATGCTCTGCGTTCACCTTGGATCTGCCTCGGCCTGGCCACCTTGCCGTTACGCCTTGGCTGAGAGCGTAGCTTTCTGTCCTGAAGAGGTTTACCCGGGGCCCTGGCTGGTGGGCTCAGTGGTTAGAGCATGGGTCCTCGCACGGAAGGGTCTCTGGTTCGATTCCCAGTCAGGGGTACGTGCCTGGATTGCCGGGTTGACCGCCGGGCTCGGTTGGGGCATGTGCGGGAGGCAACTGTCCATGTGTCTCTCACATTTATCTCTCTCTCTCCCTCTCCCTCCCCCTCTCTCTCCATTCTCCTCTCTCCCTCTCTCTCTCTCTCCCTCTCCCTCTCCCTCCCTCTCCCTCTACCTCTCTCCCTCCCTCTCTCCCTCTCCCTCTCCCTCCTTCTCCCTCTCTCCCTCTCTCTCTCTGCCTCTCTCTCTCTCCCTCTACTCCCTCTCCTCTTCTCTCCCTCTCCTCCTCTCCTCTCCCTCTCCTCTCTCCCTCCTCTCTCTCTCTCCTTCTCCCTCCTCTCCTCTCTCTCCCTCCTCTCTCTCTCTCCCTCCTCCTCTCTCTCTCCCTCTCTCTCTAAACAAATCAGTGGAAAAGCCTGTTCTCAGGTGAGGACCAGCAGGAGGAAAGGGGAGGGCAGGACGAGGTGGTCCCAGTCCTGCCCTTTCCCGGTGCGATGTTTGTCTTCCAGGCACCCCTCCCCGCCACCACCGGACATTCCTGCGCCCTCTCACTGATTTTATTTTTAAAAACATATTTTATTGATTTTTCACAGAGAGGAAGGGAGAGAGATAGAGTTAGAAACATCAATGAGAGAGAAACATCCATCAGCTGCCTCCTGCATGCCCCACACTGGGGATGTGCCCGCAACCAAGGTACATGCCCTTGACCTGAATCGAACCCGGGACCCTTCAGTCCATAGGCAGACGCTATCCGCTGAGCCACACCGGTTTCAGCTCACTAACCATTTTAATATCTTGCTTCTCATTTGCTTTTTAAAAACCCATCAGCCGTCAGCGCAGGGCCTGGTGCGAGGTAGGTCCTGAGGCCTCTTTCTGCCGAGGGACTCTGGCCGGGCCCCTGATTTTGGTCAGCCCCACCCCACCGCACCCCACCCACCGCAGCCCACCCCAGCCCGGTTCATCGGGGCTGGTTCTGCTGGGTGTGTCCCGCACTAAGTCCACAGCGATTCTGTCCTTAGAAACAAGCTCTGGTCTCGGGGAGACGGAGCGGCCACGCTGCACATCGTGTGTCCTGGGGGGAGGCACCCCGTCAGGGGTGGGCGGCCCAGGGCGCCCGGGGCCCCGCAGTGTGGACTGGACAGACGCGGGGACCCTGCTGCCCAGGCCCAGGGCCACGGGGTGCTGAGGGGGCGGCATGTGCACGTCAGGCAGAGCTTCCTGACGGGGGACCCCAGGCCGGCGCCAGCCCCCGTCTGTGGTTGTGGCTGTGATTGTGGCTGTGAGCCCTGGCCACGTGGCTGCTGCCACGTGGTGAACGATGGCCTTTGGCAGGCATCGGGTTGAAGGAAATATTTCTGAGTATTCGTTTCCATGGCTCCGTTTTCTCTGTGAAAACGTGGCCACCAGGGAACGGCCTTTGTGCTGGAGCCGGTGGCTGTCAGGGGATCTGTGGCCTTGTGAGGGGGGCTGGACCTGCTTTCTGACCGCTAGTCACCTCCCCCCCCCCCCCGAGCGGGGTCTGTGGGCCCGGGGCTCAGGCACGGCCCCCGTGGCTTCCCCTCCACCCCGTTCCCCACACAGCCTCTGGCCGTTCGGGGG